CCTTTAGTGAGACAACGAACACCCCTTGGTCTGATTCAGTGATCACTGGGAACAGCTGGCTTGTCTCCGGTGCCTGGTCTCAAAGGTCTCTGCTCAGGATTGTCCCTCTGAGCCCTATTTTGCATTAACTTGTAAGCCAGGCTAGAGCCTCTGGGTCACACACATCGAATATTTAGCAATGATCTCAACCAATCGCATCAGAACTTCTAGGGATGGGGCCCAAGCACCAGTATTATTAAAAATCTCCTAAGGGATTCCAGTGTGCAGCCAGGGTTAAGAACTATCGGACTAATGGAATCTGGAGTTGTATCACTAGGAACATAGTGCTCAGGATCAAGGAGGTGAGAGAATGATCTATTATGCGCTGCAACATTATCAGGCCAGGGCCTCAATCTGAAAGGACGGTGATGAAACATGTCCGGAGGAGGGTGTTGGGGGTAGAGAAATGATATCTGCTGAGGGAGCTTGAAGAGAGGAAGAGGCTCAGACACGGGGGAAAGGCTGGGAACAAAGGTCAGAGACCCTCTGTCTCTGAGGGCTGGGATGTATCCGCCCCATGAGATCCTGGATGTCCTGTGTTCTAACAAGCACCGCCTCGTTAGTGGTGAAATAGTCACCACTATGAACAGAGGCAGGGGACTGCCACAAGGTAGAGGCTGAAGGGAAGGCGGCCCAGAGCGGGTGGGAGAGGAAGAGATGACCACAGGCTCTACCCCTGAGGTCCCTTTAAGCCCAGCTAGGGGCTGGAATTCCCAGCACCTTTCCTGCCCTATCTAGAATCCCCACTTGGTGGCCCTAAGTGTTCTTTGCTTGCTCATTCTTGCTGCCACAGAGACTGGCTAAACAGGCTGTCCGAAAAAGTTGGCAACTCTACCAACATTTAACACACACAGCCCTGTGACCCTGAGATCCCACTTCTGGGGCTCCATACTGTAGAAACTCAAGCACAAGTCTGCATGATTTGTATCCAAATTATAGGAACTGGCAAAATATATTCTAGAACAGCAGTACTGTGAGATACTATGTAGCCATTCAAAAAGAATGAGGGATGTCTTTGAAAGAAGCTAGTCACAAAACAGTATGTACTGTAGGGTTCCATTTACGGGAAATTCAAGAACAATCAAGGGGTGCCTGGGTGGCTCTGTCGGTTAAGCTCAGGTCATGATCCTGGAATCCCAGGATCCAGTCCCACCCCGGGCTCCCCGCTCAGCGGGGAGTCTGCTTCTCTGTCTGACCCTCCCTGCTCTCATGCTCTCACTCTCTCTCTCAAATAAATAAATAAAATCTTTGGAAAAAAAAATACATATGGTCTCAGTTTTATAGAAGTGTTAGCCTAGGGAAAAGTCTAGAAGGATAGCAAACCTTTAATAGTGCCTCCCTCTGTGTGGGGGGACTGGAGGTGAAGACAACCACTCTGTACATTTCTGTTGTTAAATAACAAAATTCAACTGAGTAAATCTGAAGATCTAATTGGCTTTATTAAATGATTCAGGCCACCAAGCCAGTAGAGGGAAGCTCCCAGGAGTTGTACAAAATGGAAAGTTCTTATAGGAGGGTGGGGCAAGAAAGTTTTTGCAAAAGGATTGTTCCAGGCAAGGCCACTTTCCCTGGGCAGGGAAAAGTAACAGGAAAAGCCAGGGGTCTTATGCAGATTACCTCATCTTCCTTTGGGGGATAGAGAAGGCCCACATGGCAGATTCATTGGCGACCCTACTAAGAAAATCCCTATAAGATGATATTTCTGGGGGACGTCGCAAGTGCAATTAGACTATATATTAAGCCCCAGTGTAGGGACTTGGCCTAAGCGATGCCATTTTGGGCCTGTGGTGTTTTGATTGTGTTTGCTTGTTAGTTTAACACAATACTGTTTGCATTTGCAGTGTTCCCACGCGTTACTGCACGCAGTCCTCCGCTCCTGCTTCTCTGGGAGTGCCCTGCACTTGGAGGCCCAGGATTTTGATACTTGGTGCAAACCTTGGCTTCACATTTCAGTTTAAGACTCGGGCTTTACAGAAGCCCCTGGCAACCGACCTGGGGAAGGCACAATTCCTGCCCGTACTGAGCAGAGGCAGAGTGCTCTGAAAGATGACAATCAGGATGGCTCAGGGCCCCAGCCCTGCCGTCTTCACCCCCCTCCCAGGCTCCTCCCTCTGAGCAATCAGATCCACTAAATGGTCTTCACAGCCCTGGTTACAAGTGCTCCTGGAGGTGAATTCCGGTCACACCTCGAGCCAGCCAGGCAAATGAACCCTTGCTCTGTCCCCTCTTTAATGTGGATGTGACACCTGCAGGCTACAGCTTGTCGCACTGTGAGAATTATTTCTCCACTAAAATGCAGAAGTTGGAGCTTTGCCCAAGAAAGGCAGCTAAAAATACTGCTCTCTGGGGCACTTATCACAGGGGACTTAGTGGCCACCTTCCTTAGCCCTCAGCCCCCAGGAAAGTACCCCCACTTGCCAGGTCCCTCCTGCGAGCATCGGATCCAGTGTCTGAGGCTTATCCTGGCCCCATCAGGAAGAAAAAGCACGGGTTCCCATGCCTCTTTTAGAGATAGGCAAACTGAGGTCACTGCGCTCCATCTACAAAGTCACCTAGGGAGTAAGAGAGTGCAGCCCAGACGGCAGGGAAGAAAAATACCCCCCACATGCACCCAGCACTTTATAGTTTGCAGGATCTTCTTACCCACTGTCTTGTTGAACCTTCAGAGAGATCCTATGAAACATGAACCACCGTCGTCCCCACCTGGCAGGTAGAGTTTAGCCCAGTGGGGTGAGCAACATGCTCAAGGGTGCAGCGGGGGAGTACAGGGCAAAGGCAGAGCCCCGACACAAGTCTTTTGATTCTAAAATCCACCCAGAGCACCCGTAGTGGGACTTCAAGCAAGGTGACCAGTCTCACTGCGGGGGCTATGGGCTTTAATAATAGGCACTCTGGTTTGTAAAGAATGCTGCATACATTTCAGGGGAGGACTTGGTGCCCTACTTAATGGATAAGGAAATCAAGGGTCAGAGGTATGAAGGACTCTGTCACAAGTTAGTAGTGGAGCTGGGAACAAAAGTCAAGTGTCCTGACCACCACCTCCCCCATCACTGTCCTGCTGCCCCAGGGCCTTGTCACCCAGGGGCAAATGGGCACAGTATGCTCTGCAGGCTTCCCCATCCCTGAACCCAGCCCCCTGGAAACCTGTTTATCTGCCACATTCACCCCTCTTCTCAGTCTTTGGAGGTGGAGGATGGTGAAAACCTCAGGTCTGTTTCTTATATAAGAAAAGTAAAGTCCAGAGAAGCTAGATGCCCTGCTCAGGGTCACAGGGCAGAATGAGGTCCTGGACCTGGATCTCTGATTCAAGATCAGTGCCCATTCCAGGGGGCCAGCCAACACCAGCATGCAGAGCTCCTTCCCTGGTATCACCTTCCTACTAGGGCTCAGCTTCCCCATCTGTAAAATGGGGTGCTAGAAGTGGCCCTAAGCAAGCCCAGGATCTGAGCCTCCCAAGATCAAGAAATTAGGTGGTGCTTCCAGGAATGGGAGGAACCAAGCCTTTCTGGACAGCCAATTTCACTTTCCCAAGGGGGAAACTGCAGCCAGGGAGGGGCTGCATGGCCACAGAGACCCAGCGACAGGGGGTCGGAGGAGGGAGGGAGGGAGGAGACACAGGCATCCCCGCTCTGGCCTCAAATGTCCAGGAGGGGATCCTTCCCGCCAAGTCCTGCTGCTCAACCTGCTTCCACACACTTCTCGGAGAAAAAGCTTTCTACAAAGCCATTTATTTTTCCCAAAATACACCCCCAGTTAACAAAATTCCTCAGAGTCCCACATTTAAATTAGGCATGCCACCTCTTCCGTTCCCTGGGGAAGGAGGAAATGTCAGCGGAAGGACATCAGAAGCGTTCTGGAGGCCGGGGGCTGGCGAGAGACAAGCCAGGAGGTGTCCTCCCAGCTCCAGAATAGCACCATGGTGGGGGGTGAAGGGCTGTGTCCCTGCGCCCTCCTGGCCCTGCCCCGTCCCCAGGCTTCCCCTACACTTCTGCTCTCCAGGGTCCGGGTTGCCGTGGCCACCTGCCCACCTGCCCGCCTGCTCACACCTTGAAAGACTTTGGAAACCATCAGATTCTCCGACTGTAGCAAGAGGCTCTGCCCCCGTCTCCAGGTTTCTGCCCGCACCCCCTGCTCTGGGAAGGGATTAGGGATGGCCTGGGCATGAGGTATCCAGGACGCTGCGGGCACATTAGAGGGGTACTGTAGGGAGAAGGGCAGGAGCCCCCTCACAAGGTGCAGGCCGTGGCAGGCAGTTGTCTGTCTCCTCGCAGCTCCCCAGTTGAAGGACAAGCTCCTTAAAGGAGGGGCCTGTCTTCTCACACTGGGTCCTAGGTACCTAAGGCAATGCTAACACCCCACGGATGCTCAACGAACATGACTACAATGGATGAACAAAAGGGCAGGAGGGAAAAGCAGAGGGCTAGAGGCTGACCTTCAGGGGGCCCATGCAGACCCCCAGAGACCCAGTGTGACCAGCACATGCTTCCCATGGGGAGGCAGCCCCAGGGCACAGCCCAGGGCACCACGGGAGAGACTGGGCGAAGGGAGGTCCCTATGTGTCCCAGCACAGGTGTCGGTGTGCCCCTGCATGCCTGGGGGAAGGGCCCCGTCTTCACTTAGTGAGGGAGGGAAAAGGCCAACGCTGGGGCCAGAGGAGGGGAGATGCCTGTGAACTCAAGGAGGTGCTGAAGCTGCAGTGTCCCCGTTTGAGGAAACAGGCTTACGGGGGCGGGGGAGGGGGGGTGGAAGAAAAGGCTGAGAAATGAAAACTCGTGTAACAGGGCCACTGGAGAAAGAAGGCCAGGAGTGACTGCGTATCCTGTCTTTGGAGAAAGAAGGCAGAGGATCCGTCTGAATATTGTGTCCTGTGAAGAAAAGGAGGCAGCCAGATGGTCCATGCAGCATATCCACTGGAGAAATAAGGCGGTGGGGTGGTGTCTGTATCATGTCCATAAGAAACAAGACAGCAGGATGGTATATGTATCGTGTCACTGGAGAAATAAGGCAGCAAGATGACTTGGGAATCACGTCCATCGGAGAAAGAAGGCTGCGGGGTGGTCTCTCTGTCCTTTGGAGAATGGGCAGACCTGCCGGAGTGGGAGCCATCTGTTGGGGGCAGGGCTCACACTGAGGCCCCGGTGCAGCCAGAGGTGGGAGCCCCCAGGCCGGAGCAGCAGCTCCCTGGTCTTCGTGGTCAGGCTATTTCTTGTCCATCATCTGCATTTCGCGATGGAAAGAAAAAGTGGGGGAAAAGGCATTAAATGCAGGAGTTGTACTCTTGGGCGCGCTCCAGAAGCCCAGGCGCATGCTCACGCACTGCCGGGTGGGGAGTGTGTGTGGGGCCGGCCGCCGCAGTCTGACTAGCAGCCCCTGGGCTAAGCACTGCCCTGGAGGCCCAGACAGACTCCAACACAGGAGCTGGGCATCAGACAGACCATGAGGCCCTCGAGGGAGGCTGCCTAATCCCCACCAGCCTCTCTCTCCAACCCCATGGCTCTGCCTCCCCACACTCCTCCCAACCACTTTCCCTGGCACACTTGTCCCCTCCTAGCTCCCCCTCCGTCTTCCCTGGCCTGGCTCCCTCCCCACCTACTAGCAAGAAATCCTTTCCAGCTTCCCTTCCCATGCTGAGTTCCTCTGGCTCTTGTCTCCACATGGGGGGCACCAGTGGACTGGCCCCGCTCCAGTCCCTGGCCTGGGGGAGGGTTTCGAAGGAGGACCAGGGCATGTGTGACCCCGCCACTCCCTCTCCCATTCTTTGGGGTCTGTCTGTCCCAGAGGAAGTAGTCCTCCCTTCTGGGCACCGCCTCTGTGCGCACGCAGTGTGACCAGAGACTGGAGGGCCAGGCCGCCCCAGTGGGAACAGGATGGAGAAGCCTGCTGCACCCCGCACCCATGCCATTCTCCTGCGGCCCTCTTCTAGAACCAAGCTGACATTTTCATCTCCATCTGCTCAATCCTTCTATGCCTCATTTGGTTCAGAACAACAAGGAGGCAGATAACTTATCTCTATCCCTCCATATCCCAACATAGGCCTCTTATTGCCATGGAACATTCTACAGCATTTGAAAGGACTTGCTTTACAAAGCACTTCTGCATTTGTCACCGTGCCTAATCCTCACCACCATCTTGGAGGGAGGTGTGCGTTCCACAGATGAGGAAGCTTCCCAGAAGGTCCAAGGCAGAGACTAGACCCAGTGTATCCCCTCCCGACCCCGGGGCCTCTTTCTTCTGCACAATGCTGCCTTCCCAAAGCCCTCTTACTGGCTTTCGTGAAAGTCTGAGTCTACGACCCTCTCGTATCACGATTTTGTGCAGGCTTCTGAGGGCCCCATTGCCCGCCCCCCACCCCTGCCTCTGGAAGTTTCCTGAAGACAGGGCCTACGTCGTTCCCTTCTCCCCTAAATGTAGGGACAAGCACCCAGGAATTCAGTGAACGTTTCTTTCCTGACAAGGACACCCAGGCAACCTGAAAAAGTTTCCATAACCTTTAGCAACCAACTTTGATTTCCTAGGTGGAAGCCACTGATATCGAGTGGCAAGTCTGCATCAAGGAGTGTTTTGTTCCAAATACACACATACACACACACACACACACACACACACATATACACAGATGTCGCTGTTGGTTACTTTCAGTAAGGAAGAATCTCAAACTTACTTCCAACCAACCACTTCCTAACGTAACCGCTGATGTTATAGAATATGAATAACAATGATTGTTAACATTTACTAACTGCCTACTACATGTCAGGAACGTGGCTGCCCAGCCAAAAGCCATATTCTCTGGCCTTGCTGGAGTTAGGCGTCATGTGACTAGGTCCAGACCAATGGACGGAAACTGGAGTAACAGGAGCTATTTCTAGTCAAGCCCTAGAAAAAAATGTTCCTCCCTGTCCGCCTCCCCCCTTGCTTCTGGAGAGGGCATGGGAGCTGGAGCTCCCTGGACGGAAGCTCTGAGTGGAAGAGGGCAGAAACCAATAAATGAAATCTAGCTCCAGGACATCAGTGGCCCTAAGATCGCCTACGCTTAGACTGTTACAGGAGAGAGAAATAAATCCCTGTCCTTGTGAAGCCTCTGTCACATCTGCATCTGCTTAGAGCAGCTGGGTTACTCCACCCTCTGCCATGCTGCCAGGGGAGAGTCAAGGCTGCGCTCCTGGGGAGGGAGCAGGTGATAATCACCCCCACCACCAACGACCCTCCCCAGCCTCCCACACACAGGGGTGCCAACACACAGACACAATCTCAAGCACCACGTGTCTTTACCTTCTTTGTTTTCAGAGTGTTTCAGAGGCCGCAGGGCTGCAAAAAAAGGAAGGAGCACATAGTGAGGGGGCCCGTGGAAAGTGGCGGGGTCAGGAGTCAGGCAGAGGGACAGAAGCCGAGGAAGAAGTGAGGTCTACACGGACTGGGAGAAGTTGGGAGGATGAGGGCAACCTCCCAGCCCCAGGGAAGGGGCCCTAGGCTGCTGTCTCAAGGCCCAGCTCCACTCTGTATCCTGTCACTCCTCTCTCTGGGCCTCAGTTTTCCACATCTGTACAATGGGAACAGCTACCCTGCCCTCCAGTGAGCCAGAGGTGCAGAAGTACACTGAGTCTGCTCCGCAAATAAGGGGGAAGTAAGAAGCTACAGGAGGGCTGCAGCCCTTTCCAGGTGGGCCTGGGGTCATGCAGAACAGAGACTGAACAAATCTCTAGGCCACCCTCCTCTCCCTACCCCCTCCCTCTGTCAACTACATCTGCCTCCGAGCAAGACAAATGAGGCCTGAGCCCAGGGCTGTCTCCACACCAAAGGCAGAGAGTTAACTGGCACCATTTGCAGCCGTCCCCAGCTGTCAGTCTCCTGCTCTTCCTCCACGGGGCTGGGGAGGGGACCAATGTCAACTGGCGCCATCCCAAATGGCTCCGCGGGAACCTGGCTCTCCCAGCCCAGGAGCCCCAGGAGGGGGGCAGCGAGGCCTCCAGGGGCCACGAAACACCAGTGCCGTGGCACCCACCCCAAGCTAGGCTCCCAGTTAATGTCTCCAAAGCACCATGCCCTTTTCAAACCACCTGTGTGTCCAGTCACTCGAAAGAGCCTCTGGTGCCATCAAGACAGGGCCGGCATAACATTTTACAGAGGGACACCGAAGCCCAGAGCAGCAAAGCACTTTGACCAAAGTCACACAGCCTCTAACCAGAACGGGACTGTCTTAAATTGTTTACCTATTAACAAGACTCCGAGCTATCAAGCATGGACCAGGCACCAGGGACAGTACTAGACCCTTTATATACATGATCTTATTTAATTAAACCCACACAACCTATGAAGGAAGACAGTTATTAAGAGGAAACCAAGACTCAAAGATGAAGAAACTGAGGCTCAGAGAAGCAAAGTGACTTGCTCCAGGCCACTCAGCCCACGAACAGCAGCTGGAACTTAAACCCAGGCTGCCCTGTCCCCTGAGCCCTCCCTCTTCCCCTAGGAAGCCACCAGACCCCACAGTGTGGGGTCACTCAGAGAGGATCTGGCCCTGGTAGAAAGGTCAGGTAGGCAGGAAAGACGAAGCAACACCTGAGAGGGAGTCAGGGGAGATCCACATCAAGGCCTAACACTGAGCAAAGACTGGACTCATCCGGGCAGGAGGCCACAGCCCATAGAACATACTGCACCCAAACCCCAAGCAAATCTGGCTCCTCCGGATCCTAGAGTCCTCTCCCTGTCCCTGCATCCTTCCCTCAGCCAGTAAGGCCAGCTCTTGGGCGCCTGGGTGGCTCAGTCGTTGAGCGTCTGCCGTTGGCTCAGGTCATGATCCCAGGGTCCTGGGATCAAGCCCCGCATCGGGCTCCCTGCTCGGCGGGAAGCCTGCGTCTCCCTCTCCCACTCCCCCTGCTTGTGTTCCTGCTCTCTCTCTCTCTCTCTCTCTCTCTGTCAAATTAATAAATAAAATCTTTAAAAAAAAAAATAAGGCCAGCTCTAAGATCAGGCTTACCGGTCTTGGGTCCCTCTCCATCCCCATCCTGGTCCTCAGCACCTGGAAGACAAGCACTCAGTAAACAAGACCTTCTCAGCCCACGGTCATTCCTGCACTTCTCCACCTGGGAGCGCAGGAGGCACGCTAAGCAGGCTGAGTAGGCCTGGCCTGCGGTCTGGATGTTGGACACAGGGTAGGAGCCTGAGACCAGCACAGAGCAGAGCCCACCCCTCCCCCAGCCAAGCACCATTTCCTCACCCCTCCACCTAGCCACACCCACCGACCCCATTGCTCCCCCATCCACCCACTTACCAGGCCCCCCTACCACCAGCCTCCAACACGAGCACCATCCACCTACCTGTGCACCTGTCCTTCCAGCAGCCCGCCCTGCCGCCTGCAGCACAGACCGCTACCCACCTGTCTGTCCCTTCTCCTCCACACATGCTCCTTCCTGACGCCCAGCCAGCTCCCACCTCCAACCGTCTACTTCCATGTTCACCCAGGGAAGCCTTTGTGTACCCACCTCCCACCCACTGGCATCACCCCCGACTCACCAATGTGTGCTCACCACCCACCACTCCCCAGAGTTGACACACTTCCCAGCCGAGCTCAAACTGCCCATCTATCAAGGTCAACTCACCACCTGTCAGTCACTGAAGTCAACTCACACTGATTCCAACCCGGCTAATGGCAGCTCCTTCCGACTCTGCCCACTGGGAGGCAGACACACCCTCACACAGGGACCCCCCCACCCGTGCGGCACTCACGCGTGTGCACTAAATTTCCACGCTCTACACCCACGCTGCCGCACACAGACACCCTCGGGTGACTTCCACTCTCACCATCACACTGCAGCCCCACACGTCCACCACTCACTTCCGGTCCCACTCCTACGCACACTCAGCCTGCCATATTCCCACCCTGAGAGGCAGGCTCACGCCTGTTCACACGTATAAGACACATTCAGCCTCAAGGCCACACACACACAATCAGGCCCCATGTGCACACTCACACTGCCAGAGACACACCAACATACCCAAAGACACGTGTGTGTGCACACCCTCTCTCCCTCACCTGCATTCTCCTCCTCACAGCTCTGCTTGATCTTTCTCCAGCACACGAAGGCCAGGGCCACCAGCAGTGCAACAAGACAGACAGACAACCCCACGGTCACCCACAGGGCCTCAGGGGGGAAGGTCATGGGCTGCCCTGGGAGGGGAAGTGGAGAGAATGGGAAGAGACGGTCATGCCTGGCCCCCATGGCCCTGAGGACTGCACACCCTTGGCCAAGAGTGTGAATAGGGAGCTCCCACCCTCACTGGGCTCCAGCGCTATGAAGAGAGCTCACTGAAGTTCCCACGCCACTCCCCCACACCAAGACACATCCAAACCCCGACACAGCCATGGCCGGTGTGGACAATTCTCAACTTGGCAGGGGTGAAGAGTCTGCAGTTGATGATGCTCTAGAACCTTCTATGGCTCCCCACTGACATTTGAATAATGCTTCAATCCTCTCAAGGACTTCTATTATGTGCCTGTTCCTTCCCCTCCCCCAGCCTTTCTTTCCGTGTCCACCTCAGGAACCTCTGCTCCAGCCAAGCTGGTGAACTAACCATTCTCTGCAGAGACAATTGGCTCCTTCCAGCCCCCACACCATTGCTGTCAGGTTCCCCTACTTAAAAAATGCCCCCAAATGCTCACCTAGTTGAAGGTTCACCTCCTCAGGAGGCCCTCCCTGACTCGTCCAGCCCTGCCCGGTGACATTCCCCGTCCTAGAGATCGGGAGTCAGCAAATTATGGTCTGTGAGCCAGATCTGGCCTGTGGTCTGTTTTTGTACAGCCTGTAGGCTAATAATAGTTTTTATATTTGTAAAGGGTTGCAAAAAAAGAAACAGGAGGAGCAGAAGGGGAAGGAAAAGTAGCAGCAACAACCGAGATCGTATGTGGCCCACAAAGCCTAAAATATTTACTCTCCAGCCCTTTACAGAAAACGTTTGGGGAGCCCCGCATGTAGATGGGGGTGGGAGCTGAGGGTGCCGTGGTGAGGGTTCTGGGTTTACCCAAGAGGGGGAGACTTGCCAGGGGAATGTTTCTGTGAAGCGCGGAGGGCCCGTCTGTTAGCTATCTCTCGGCAGAGGGATGGGCTCAAGGCTCCTGCACCTGGGTCAGGGCCAGTCACTGTCCTGAGCACGACGCCAGCCAGCAGCCCAGGCCCTGGGCCCATGCCAGGTCCCGGGCAGAAAGCTCGGGGACCTCAGATCAAACAAAAGACAGCACCACTTTCCTCTGCTCTCTGTGGACCACGAGGGCCCAGGGCAGCAGCGGCAGCCGGGGGGCCAGCTGGTTCTGCAGAAGGCTCTGTCAGGGCAGACAGCAGTGCCGGGAGAACCTTCGGCCACAGACGCCCCGGCAGGGACACGGGCATTTGCAGCAGATGTTCCCTTGGCCGGCATGGCTGGCAGAGCTGCCGCTCAGGACGTTGCAAGCAAAGGGACCCGTCACCCAGGGGAGCGGGAGAGGACAGCAGATGACACGAGGGGCCAAGAAGACCAGTCCAGGAAGCCCGTGAAAGAAAAACCCCTGGGGATCCCGAGTGGGGCTCCCGCAGCAAAGGAGGGAGCAGAGGCACAGAAATAGGCGGAGGGAGGATCTCCTTCTGTGTTCACCCCCTGACTGCTGTCGGTGCCTGCAACACAGGCCAGACTTGCCCTGGAGTAAAGAGCGGGGCTCAGGCCAGGGTGTTGAGGCTCCACTCCCAGCGCGTGCTCCATAAAGCCCCCTCCATGCACAGCACGCGGGGCGTCACGAACCTCCAGCAGGTGTGGGAAAGACCAGGCTGGAGGACTGACATTCTGAATCCCAGAATGCTTTAGCAGGCACAAAGCTGCCTGAAGCGAAATACAGGCCAAGGGCTCCAAAGTAGGCCAGACCTGCTCTTACAAAAACAGGAGGCTGGGTGGTGGGGAGGAGAGAAAATTAGGTTGAGAGGTTAAAGGTTAGATTCTGGTCCTGGTTCATCTGCTCACCGCCTGGTTCATCTGCTCACCGCCCTGGGTGAGTGGAGAGGGGCCATGCACCTTCTAAATGTAAATGCAAACTATTGCATTTACCATTTATCCAATTTTCAAAGAGGTGCCTGGCCCCCAAAATGGAGCCACTGTGCTAGTCTGCAGACTTGGGAAAGTTCTCTCTTCTCTCTGGGCTTTGGTCTCCTCATCTCTGAAACAAAAACACTTTAAATGTTAGCTCCTAAAGTTTAAAATTAAAGTGTTTTTCTCTTAGATGGGATAAGCATTCTCCCTACCATTCCATTTACACCCATAAGCCCTTTCTGCACAGCGTGGCAAATACCCAGTTCGGCCCCAGGTGCAAATGATCACAAAGTCCACTGGTCCTTCAAGGCTCTCTCAACTCCCTTCTGTCCCCGGAGACTTCTCCCGACTGCTCCTGCAGCCCACTTCCCTTCTCAGAAAGCTTCCCTTTCTCTGCCGATCTCACTCTACCTGGTACTTCTTATTCTCTCTGGAAACCTACCAGGTGGATGGAAGTCATGGGAAGGGAAGACAGGACAACCAGACAGACAGACCCTCTGTCCTGACACCAGAGGATGTGGGGAGGGCCCTGGGAAAGCTCAGTTGCCCAGGGGGAGGGACTGAGGAGACAACCTGATGTCCCAATACAGATGGAGACTGCCTCCCTTAGCCTGAGTGTGGGACTGCGCCCTCTTCACACCCCCAGGCACAAGGAGCACCCACTGAGGCGGACAACGCAGGAAGGGAAGGTGTTTGGGCTGGGATCCCAAACCAGACCCCAACCAGATTGAGGGAATCACCAAACGGACATCAATCTGGTGTTTGACCACAAGGGGGCAGCAGAGATTCCCCCAACTGCTGCCTGGGTTGAGCGCTCCCCTCTAGAAGAGCTGACACCGCCCGGATGAGGGTCGGGACGGAACACCTGGACATCCCCAGCTGTCTCTCAGATCAGATGGTGCCATGGACACAGCAACACCTTCCCATCACCCAGAGGACTTCCGGTAGGGAAGCCCTCGCTCACCATGCCGTCTGCTCTAGAACTCCCACCCCTACCCCCAGATTCCCGCAGCTACTCCTGCCTCTGTGTAAGAAGCACAAGGACCACCTAAGGTGCTCTTAGGAGGACCAATATTACAAATGACTCAGATCAGCTCCTTAAAGCAAGTCCCTCAGGGACTTCTTGGGGGAGAGTTTGAGACACCTGAAATGTCGGGCTTCTGACCATCCAAACCTACCTAAATTCCAATTCAGGGTCTAGAAAAAAGGCAGCGGCTCCCTTCGTATCCCCAGCGGTTCACCTGCCGCCTGCCTACCTGTGATGGTGACGGAGCCATGAGCGTCCTGCCGCAGCACAGGGTTGCGCACCAGGCAGCTGTAGGTGCCATTAGCGCCCAGCACCACCCTCAGGACGCTGCGCACGTCGAACAAGCCCTGCTCGTTGGCCATCTGCGACGTGGTCACGTTGCCCGTCAAGGGTGCGCCCTGCCCGTCCTGCCAGAACACCTCGGCCTCCGGATAGCCTCGGTAGCTGGCGCACGTGATGGTCACCGTGTCCCCAGGCCGCAGGTCCTTGTTGGGCTCCAGGGTCATGCTGGGCTTCGAGTAGGGAGCTGGAGTGGGGCAGAGGGTAGAGGGCAGAGGTCGAGGTGAGGCAAGGACGCGAGGGCAGGGATCGCAGTGGAGGAAAGGGCACCTGGAGGGACAGGGGTCAGCAGTGGGGCTTGAGTTACGGGGTCAGTGGTGGCGCAGTGGGTAAGGGGCTGCGGGAGCTGAGGGATGTGGCGAGGGGAGGGCGCCCCCTCCCGGCGCTCACCCGCCACCTGCAGGCTGACTGCGGCGCTGCCGAAGTCCCGGATGCTCACAAAGCAGGTGAAGCTGCCCTCATCAGCCACGCGCACGCGCTGCAGCCTCAGGGACGCGTTGCCCTGCGCCAGCAGGTCGGGGAAGAGCGCCGTGCGGTTGGCGTAGGCGCTGCCCTGGTCCCGGCCCTCGGCGAAGCTGTGCACCAGCTGTTTGGTGTCCGTCAGCTGCCAGATGAGGTTGAGCTGCGCCAGGCTGAAGCCGGGTTCGGGCGCGAAGGAGCAGCGCAGGGTGGCATCGGTGCCCACCAGGGCCACCACGGGGTCCTCGGGGACCTGGACCTCCACGGCACCTGGGGGCGAGGTTGGATAGGCGGTGAAGAGGGGTGGGGACACTCTGGGCTACCAGCCCACAGCCTCCCAGATTTCCTTCTTTATTAACAACCCCCAGTTCCTGTTCCATCTTCCCACTTTCTCTCCAGACCCAAAAGCAGACTGAGTCTCCGGATTCCCAGATGTGGAGTCACCCTAATCTTATGACAAGAATCACAGGCAGTTGACCTTGGCCTGACAATGCCTGTTCCGGGGCGGGGGAGGCGCAGGCCGGTGACAGCATCCAGCCCTAGCAACGCCCCCCCCCCCATGATGGATCCATTTCCCTCTCCTATCCTTACTCTCTTTCCAGAGGTTTCCAGAGCCCTGGAGTCAGGAGCCCCGGAGAGCGAAGAAGGTCTGTGATTACTGTCCTCGTCCCCTACCAGCAAGGTGAGGTTCCCCGCCTCCTCACCCTGTTTATCTTTCCTGTTATCATTACTAGGAATTTCACCTTCTGCGAGACTGAAGGTATGGAGCTAGATTCGAATCCCGCAGCCCCTGCCGATAGGACAAAAATCTCCCTCCCTCACGGGGACATTTAAGCAAAAAAACAAACAGAAAACAAAACCTGTGGGGCTTCTATGGGGCGTGATGGTGACGGAGCCATGAGCGTCCTGCCGCAGCACAGGGTTGCGCACCAGGCAGCTGTAGGTGCCATTAGCGCCCAGCACCACCCTCAGGACGCTGCGCACGTCGAACAAGCCCTGCTCGTTGGCCGTCTGCGACGTGGTCACGTTGCCCGTCAAGGGTGCGCCCTGCCCGTCCTGCCAGAACACCTCGGCCTCCGGATAGCCTCGGTAGCTGGCGCACGTGATGGTCACCGTGTCCCCAGGCCGCAGGTCCTTGTTGGGCTCCAGGGTCATGCTGGGCTTCGAGTAGGGAGCTGGAGTGGGGCAGAGGGTAGAGGGCAGAGGTCGAGGTGAGGCAAGGACGTGAGGGCGGGGATCGCAGTGGAGGAGAGGGCACCTGGAGCGACTGGGGTCAGCAGCGGGGCTTGAGTTACGGGGTCAGTGGTGGCGCAGTGGGTAAGGGGCTGCGGGAGCTGAGGGATGTGGCGAGGGGAGGGCGCCCCCTCGGGCGCCCCCTCCCGGCGCTCACCCGCCACCTGCAGGCTGACTGCGGCGCTGCCGAAGTCCCGGATGCTCACAAAGCAGGTGAAGCTGCCCTCATCAGCCACGCGCACGCGCTGCAGCCTCAGGGACGCGTTGCCCTGCGCCAGCAGGTCGGGGAAGAGCGCCGTGCGGTTGGCGTAGGCGCTGCCCTGGTCCCGGCCCTCGGCGAAGCTGTGCACCAGCTGTTTGGTGTCCGTCAGCTGCCAGATGAGGTTGAGCTGCGCCAGGCTGAAGCCGGGTTCGGGCGCGAAGGAGCAGCGCAGGGTGGCATCGGTGCCCACCAGGGCCACCACGGGGTCCTCGGGGACCTGGACCTCCACGGCACCTGGGGGCGGTGGGGTGGGGTGGGGCAGTGAGGAGGGGTGGGGGCACTGGGAGCCTCCCGAGTCTTCCTCCCCTTCCGGGTTAATTCCAAGCCCATCCACCCCTCCTTTAAAGCCTGAGACCCAAAGTAAAGGTTATTACCTGTGATCCTCATCCAGTCAACAAGACTACAGTAAGCACCTACTATTTGTTGAGCATAAGAGTTAGGAATGCAACAGAGAAGACCAGGGTCACACCTGTACAGAGCTTACCTTTTAATGGAAGCGAGGGACAAACTAAGACACAAATTCGCATTAGCATGGGATTAGGGGTATGAAAGATATAAATAAGCCAAAGGATTAGAGGTGGTAGCTTTTCAAAAAATTGACAGGTACTTTACCCCTGTCTGTGCTAGTTGTATTTTCACATAAGTATATGTTATCTTTATTCATCAGAAAGGGGAGTCTAAAAAGGTATATACCAAATGTTAACAGTGGTTTTCTCTGAATGAGAAAGGATCACGAGTGCTTTTTCTTTTTTCTTTTCCCAAATAAGCGTGATTCGCGTTTATACCCAAAAGAAAGAATGCTCACACCTTTCAGTGGGGTTGTGAGGCACATTCTCACTAAAAGGATATTAAGTTGAGATTTAAAGGGAATGAAAAAGAGCCTGACATACAAAAAAGCTAGTGTAAGAGTGTTCCAGGCAGAGGGAACAGCAGGTGGGAAGGCCCTGAGGCAAGATTCAGTTCCCTAAGTGAAAATATCAGGTAGCTGTCCCCTGTGGCCAGAGAGTCTGGATGGGAGGGATTTGTAAGACCAGTAAAGAATTTAGGTTTGCTACATACAATGGAAAGTCACTGCAGGTTGGGGTGTGTGTGTGTGTGTGATCCACATAATCTGGCTAACAATGCTTACAACTCACTCTGGCTTCTCTGTGGAGAACGGATTAAGGACTATTTCAGTGGTCTTTGTGAGAAGTGACGTTGGCTTAGCTCCAGAGGGTGGCGGTGGTATCGGAGAGCATGGGGCAGATTCAAGGTTTGTTGATGAGGGAGAACCAACAGGACCTGCTGATGAATGGGAGGTGAGGGGAACACAGGAGCAGGAATCCCAGAAGCCTAGCGTCAACTCATCCCCAGAGCCAAGGCGAGGGGCATAGCCAGAGAAAAGCCCCCTGGGGCAGATTCCCCTGTTTGTCCCCTGCCCTTTATCCTGTGGATTGGCAAGCCTCCTCACCAAGTCACCTCTGCCTCTATTCCAGTTCTTCTTTTAGAGCCCTGGGAACTTAGGTGGGGGTCCCCAAGCCTTTCCTTTGGGGAGGTACACTCTCTGGCACTGCCATTCTTAGGTGTGTGCTTTGGGCACCAGCAAAGCAGGCACACTCAGTGTAAAAATCAAACAGTCTTGACACAAAGCTGACTGGATATAGCACCCATCAAAAGTTTCTTGCATTTAGAAAAGTGGTATTTTTATTGCGAATTACACACAGGGAGAGGGTATCATGATCTTTGCACTGTGTAGAGGTCTCTAAAGGTCTTACGCTGGCCCTGGATCTCTCGCTGCAACAGCAGATGCCCCAGGCCAGCTCTCCAACTGGTGGCCCTTGTAGGGGGCATTTAGGAATGAAACCTGAGGAATCACCCAGACAAAATCCCTTTCTCTCCAGAAATCAGAGCAGCAGTGACCAGAGAGTTGCTTCCTCTTTATGACCAGCAGGTGGCACCAGACACTCAGCTTTGTCTTCCCCTATGGCGGAAGAAGGCAGTCTCTCCCTCTGCCAGGGACTGATAAGAATTTAAAATATGAGGATATTGTCATTAAAAATAAATCCATTATTGAATGCTGACTCTGTGCCAAGAGCTGTGTGGGAAGAGTTACATCATTTATCCAACATGGTTATTGAGGAGCTACTATGTGGCTGGCATCAGTCCTGGCACTGGGAACAGACCCTGCTCTTTGAGCAGAGCGGACAAGAAGCAGGTAAACATACAACATGTCAGGCAGAGGGAAAGAAGCATGATCAAGTAAGGTCAAGGGTATGGAGAGGTGGTATGCTATGTTATACAAGGTAGCCAAGAAAACTTTGCTGAGGGGGTGACGTAGGAGCAAAGACCTGAACGAAATAAAGGATCAAGTCATGCTAATGTGTGGGCATGGAAAGTTCCAGGCAGAGGGAACAGTACATGCAAAGGCCCTCAGGAGGCAGCACGCATACTGTATGTTTAAGAAACACATTATCACATTAAGTGTTCACATGACCAGTTTACAGAAGCGGAAACGGGCTAAGAAATGCTGAGTACGTTGCCTATGGAATCCCAGTGGAAATGAGTGGACAGGGGACAGTGGGAGGAGGTTGGCCAAAACCCTCCCCATCCCTGCTAGACAGACAGGCTTGGCAGGAGCCCTGCTGGGAATGGGCGCCCCCCCACTCCAGTCCCCACACTGCTCCCCTCACCTGTGATGCAGAACCACAGCGCTGCCAGGACTGTGGCCAAACGCACACGCATGCCCACACCCTCACTGGCCCAGCGACACAGCATCTTCCCGAGAGGCAGCTGACAGCTGGGCTCTCCGTGATGGAAGGCTGCCCCTGCGTGTGAGGAAGAGGAATTGAGGACTTTGTCTCCAAGGGTCTTCCCCAGGCCCGCCCTCACCCTATGGCCTCCCTCTCCCACCCTGCCCCAGCTCGGGGAAGGCTGCAATTGCCCAGTGGCAGGTCCTCCCTCCCACACCCTACAAGGCTCCCCACTGAGGGGTTTTTTTTTTTTTTTGAGACACGCTAGCTGGCAGGAGGGAACTGAATCACTGGGGAGGACAGACCAGGGCACACGGGGCAGGGGCAGCTGGGACCCACCCTTTCAGAACTAAGATGTTGTTACAAAATACAAGGAGGATGAGACAAGTTGGCAAGTAGAGGCAAGGTTGGCCAGCCCAGGGCAAGAATGTGCGCAGATCAGCTTGGCTCAGTTTGACTCCAGACAACAGCTGGTGGGGAGAGTAAGGGCTGAGGCTGGAGCCAGATGTGGAGACAGGCTGAAAGGTCTGAAGTTTATCCTGAAGGCAACTGGGAGCCACTGAAGGTTCTGGAACAGGGGAAAGGATATGGTCAGAGCTGTGCTCCATAAAGATGACTGATAGCATCTGCAGGATAAAGAAGAGATAAGGCAGGTCTGGGTGAGAACGTGCGGAGAGAGGAAGGGGGCAGTCAGGGTGGCCATGGTTTTGAGCCCAGTGAGCGGGTGGGGCAGTCACTGAGACAGAACATGGAGGTGGTCGGTGTAGGGTGTGGGAAGTTAGCAGTGTTTGTGCAGAAACTTCCAGGGGAGAGTTCTTGGACGCAGCTGGTGTCAGAGTATGGGGCCCGAGAGAGAGGACCCTTGCTAACTGGACACTTTTTAGCAAGTGACTGAGACCAATCAGAAACGGAAGAGGCCCGGCCTGGGGTGAACCCCAGAGGCCGGAATCAGGACTGAGTGCGAGGAATGGGAGGTGAGGGGAACACAGGAGCAGGAATCCCAGAAGCCTAGTGTCACCTCATCCCCAGAGCCAAGGCGAGGGGCGTAGCCAGAGAAAAGCCTGTGGCCACAGGTGAGACCTCCCTGGGCCCAGCCCTGCTCCCGATCCTGGCTGCCCCCCACAGTGTCTGACTTGGGCGGGCTGCATCCACCTTCACCCTGTCCCACAGCTGCTGCCTGACTGTTCACACCATGTCCCGATGAAGCCACATAACCAGCGTGGACTTAGGCTATCCAACACTTCAACAAGAACACAGTCGACTTCACATTCTCGCAACCACCCAGGGAGACAGCCGGATAGACTTGGTCCTATTTTGCAAGAGAAAAAAATAAAGCCCCTTATATAAGTGAGGTGCCTTTGTTAATGTGATGTAATCTGCCAGTTAGCAAGCTGGGGAGGGTTTGGGTTCCCAACCTCCTGCCACAGCTTTCTGCCCTCCCAAGGAGCAGACCTCACCCACAGCCAGCCAGCACCATCATTTTGGACACAGGCACCCGGCCTCAAGCCTTCCAGTCCCAGCCAAGCACCTCCCCCACCCCCAGCAGCTGGGCTGAGGGAGTCCCTCAGCCAAACCGGGTGCATCCTGCCCACCCCCACCCCCCCAGCTGTCCACAGCGGGGAAGCCCTGAACAGCCACTTCCTTCCCAGACACTTCCGGCCCAAACCTGGCAGCCTCAAAGCCTCGCCGCCTGCTGAGTCAGCAGCCTTCCCGCTCCATTCATAAAGGCACCCTTGGCGGGCACCACATCCTGCCTACAAGGGCAACCCCTGGCTGCAGGAAAAGCTAGCAGGCTGCAGCCTCCGCGCTGTCCCCCACCCCCACCCCAAGGAAGCACCAGGACCTAAGGATTAAGAAGCTTCCAGATTCTAAGACTCCTTTCCCTCTCTTTCACCTCCAGGAGAAAACCAAGGCCTATCTGTTCTTCCCAGGCCACCTCCCTCACCCTCCCCACTGCTGCTTATGTCTGCCGCTCCCACCCTGACCCTCCTGTGACCTTCCTGAGAGGCCCTGCTATCTCCACTCTGCCCCCACAAACCCCACTCTCTACAACGTCTGCTCTCAGCACCTTATTCCTAAGATAGGAATCTGTTCACATCCTTACCCATGCTCAAGAACCTTTCGTGGCTCCCTATTTAGTACAGAAGTAAAGCCACTTTCCTCTGGCTGGCACTCAAAACTTTTCTTATGAGGTCTCCATATATCAAGCTTTTACTCACCAGGGTCTTTTGGGAATGCCTGCCACCTCCATGAATGTGGGGGAGGTCAGGGAGCACCCCCTCCTGATCAGACCTACCAGGGCTCCCCAAGGGCCAACCTGTCCTTCACTCTAGAGGGAAAATGGGAGGATTTCCAGGAGTGGGAGTTGGGCTTACCCCCTTTGGTTACCTTCCTAGACTCTGAACCCAGCAAAATTCCCACTGTCATGGCTTACCCTAGGGAAAAACCTGACAGCCGAGAACCAAGAAGACCTGAGAATTCCACCGCACCAAGAGGTTCCTACCCCAACAGCTGGTCCCCCAGAGACTGAGAGAGGGATGGAGAAACACCTCTCGGAGACAAGGTGCCCTTCAGGGAATGGGAGCATGGCCTGGGAACAGAAAGCCCATCACTGCTCTTTAGGACAGATGGGCTGCCCTTGGAGGCACACAGATCTCGTGCTGCGTTGGCACCACCCTGCCCACCTTCTCTACAAAGGGGAATTCTCATCCCATGGTGGGACCTGCCCTGGAGTCAGCATGTACCACCCTTCCTAGTGAGTCACCAGCCAGCCCTCCCTCCTCCTCTTCCTTCACCCCAGTCTCAGCCAAATGTGGGAACTCCAAAGAGTCCTGCCAGGAAAGAACACAGTGCTTTGGCTTTCCCCCGGGAAGCAGGACTGAGGGGCCCAGGCCATGCTTGGCCTGAAGGTGCCGCAAGTTCATTCAACCCTAGCAGAGGTGCAGTCACTGGGAAGCTCTCAAGAGAGGACCCAAGATGTGCCTCCATTAAGCCCAAACCAAGAAACAAAGGCTGAGACTGGGCTCTTGGTAGAGAGCTCTTGGCTCAAGATGAATTCCTTGCCCCCACCATAACCACCCCATATCTCTTAACCCCCTGCCTCCTCCCAATCCCTGCAGGGTCCACTTGGGCAATGCCTCCCACTAAGAGGCCAAGAAGGATCAAACCACATAACTAGTGTCAATCTCTGCTAACCAGTATAGCACAGAGGCAGAGCTTCTGCAAACAGCAGTTAAGCACCTGAACCAAGCTATGCCTGAAACAAGTGCACACCTAGACTGTCCAGATACTTGAGTCAGTCCTTTTTTTTTTCTTCAAGCTAGTTTGAGCTAAGTTTCTATTATCTGCAACTGAAAGACTCCTTGAATATACATTTGTTTGTGTATTCAGTAGTGCATTTAACTATTCACTGAGTACCTGGTAGGCAGGCACTGGGGACAGAGAGATGACTAAGCTATGTGTCTGTCCTCAAGGAGCCTGCATTCCAATCAAGGAGTGCCTGTGATTCACTGCACTTCAATACAGTACATTATTTAAGATACAGTGAGGGCTACTTGCAGGTACCTCAGAGACATAATAACCCTAAAGGTGAGTCCAGAAAAATGATGAGCAGTATCCCAGGTAGACAGGCTGGGCAGGGTGGCTTCTCCCCAGCCCCAAGACACCTGTCCTCCTGGCACTGCCTGGGTGCCTCTCAACCAGATCCCTTTGAAATAGTAGAAAATGAGCCCAAAGTTTAGGGTTCTGGTCCCAGCTCTGACACTGCTGTGCAATTTTTAACAGGTGACTTCCCCTCTCTAAACTCCATATGCCCATGTATAAAAGAAATGCTTGGCTGGATCCTAGCGGAACAATATTAGTATGTTAAGTCTTCATGTACTATATCCTTGAGGTTGAGCCAATTAGCTGCTATTCAGGTCATGCTAAAATGTACAAAATGACTGTGGCAGAAACCCCTCATTTCCCCCTCATATCTATTCTCCTCTTCTGTAGAATTTTTCGTTGGGCACATGGCCACTCAGCTGAAGACTACAGATCCCAGCCTGCCTTGCAGGGGGAAAGGTGTGTCCGGGTGACCATCTTCTGGCTAATCGGATGTGAGAGGAACTGATGTGTACAACGTCTGGGTCAGACCCTTAAAGAGAGAGAGCACACCCTCTCTTGTCTCCTCCCCTTTCCCACTCCTGGAACACAGCTGTGGTGACCATCTGAAACCATGCTGCCAAAGGCAACACTCTGGAGACTTCAGAACAGCAAGACCCAAGGCTCTCGGAGGGGCTGCAGTATCAGCCCTGGACAGACTCGGCCTGTCACATGGGTGAGAGTAAGCATCTACTGTAGCGTCACTGTTATTTTGGGTCTTTTTGACAGCATCTGAAGTGACTAATTTAGAGAGCCAACCCTCCCCTCCTTTCCCTCCTTCTCTCTCCCGCTCTTCCCACCCCATGAAAATTGCCACTGCTCAGAGAGCAAAAGGAAACCACATCTAAAATAGGTGTTTCAAAATACGAACTGGACGCTATCTCCTCTGAGTCGCTTGATGACTGGGCCTGGCTCAGGGTAGGTGTGACCTGGCTTGGGGACTGTTTTGTTTGTATGGGAGGGAGAGGCTGACAGAGTCAAGGATGTCCTGAAGGCTTGAACAAGTGGGCACTTGGGGGGCACACATCATACAATGTGCCTCCATTAAGCCCAGGAGACCTGGAAATGAAGCACGTGTAGGAGGAAGAACAATTCCTACTGGGCTTGAGCTATAGAGCATCCCTGCCAGATGCCACATGGACTCCTGGACACACGGAGCTGGAGCTCAGAACAGGACAGGGAGCTACCCATGGTTTGGGAGTGATGGGAGCCAAAGTTGGGATCATTGAGGGAGATTGTGGAATGAGGAGAGGTCCCCCAGCAAATTCTGGAGAATCTGCAGAGGTTAATGGTCAAGTCTCAGAATAGGGAACCTCTCTTGGGCCACCCTCACAACCCATTTGCTCCCTCCAGTGATGGATACCCACAACCTCCCAAAGAAGTCTGCTGGCTTTGGGACGGCTGTCACTGGGGAAAGCTCTGCCTTATCCT